GTATATGTTTCAGTTTAGCATTAATATTTACCTTTCGGCTGCAACAGTTATATATTCCAGTGGCCGGTTTACTGGTCATTGCTTTTATTCTTATCGAATTTGCTAGTCTCAATAAAAACAGAAAAACTGCTACTGGAAAAGGCAACGGCTTGTATTCCTAAAATATACTCATCATCGTCATCATCATCATCATCATCATCATCATCATCCTCACCATCATCATTATCAGTCCTTATTGAGCTCTAGCTGCGTTCTAGGCAATGAGATGAAAACATTTAACTTTTACCACTTCATCTCCACAAGCACACATGATATTATCATATCACAAGCCTTCTTTTATAGGGTTGAAAAATCAAGCCTCACAAAGATTGAGACCATTGCATGAAATTGCAAACATGACAAAGAGCAGAAAATAATTTGAACTTCAATGGCTGGTCTCTAGACAGGTTCTGTAGGAAGAAGTTCTGATGAAAAATCTTATAAATCACCCAGTCAAAAGTCATTGGCTATTTTGTATCCACACTTAGAGGGACCACATTGGTTAAACTGTGAAAATGGTTGTATCAAATAACATCATCAAGAATGGAGGCGCAGTATGGACTCAACTCCAGTCTCTTGAGTCAGCTAGCAAATTCTAGCTACAAAACTAATAACAGACGCTGAACTCAACCTAAATTTGCCAGCACTCCTGCAGCTTGCCTGGAACCTTTCTTCTTCCAGATCCAGGAGAGCGGAAACCTTCTTGATATTATTTACCACTCGATAGAGGTAAAGGAGTATACCAAATCCGGGAATAGAGCCTGGCACATAGTAGGTGCTCAATAAATATGTGTTGCATGAACAAACATCCTTTCTCCAGGGTCAAAAGCCATATGGAAATGATGAGGGTCCTTTCAAATGAAATAGAGAATCGGGGATGCATTCAGGTGACCTGGGAGCATGATGAGTAGGCCCCGAAAGCCAACCTGGGCTCCACCTTCCAAGCTGCATACCCTGGTGCAGGGATGCATCAGAATGGAGAAGGGGTGCCATTTTCAATCTCACATGCACGTGCAATGTGGGCTAGCAGTGGCCCAGCCTGAGGGAGTAGGAGGAATTCTTGAGATACGTATCTCTGGAAATTGAATACAGGTCACGTGCACTTCCAACAAATAGACTTTCAGTACATGGAGAAGCAAAGACACTTGTGTCCCCACCATGGCAATGCTGCACCCACCCACATTCTGATACCACAAGCCGTGTTCTACCGATTCTTATCTGTGACGTGCTGTCTCACAACCCCTAGGACTGGGGTGGTAGACAGACCACAAACGCCCACAGCTTGAAGAACACTCTTCTCAAATGAGTATTTTTCAGAGTGGTCCTATTATGCCTCAGCACCTACTCCAACTCTTAATTCTATACAATAGAAGGCTTTCCAGGCTTGGTTTAATAAATAAAGATATTGATTGTTTTGAGATCGATGGCTCTTTTTTACAGTTCTGGGAACTAGCTATTTTTACTCTTGTCAATATTTTCCATACATCTATGTTTCCATCCATTTGCATTATTTACAGTGTTTCTTGATATTGGGGTGCTGTTGATGTTTGGGGGTAGGTCAGTTCTTCATGGGATGGAGGACAGTCTCCAGCTTTGTAAGGCTTTAGTATTCTTAGTCCTTTCCATCAAATGCCAATAGTACCCCAAATCACGGAGAAGCCACAGAGGCTCCCCCACATTTCCAAAGGCCTCCCTGAGGAATGGCACCACTCCCAGGTTGGGTGTGACAGAATGTATCACAAATTCCAGATAAATGAGCTTTAGCTGGGAGGGACCATCACAGACGCCCCAGGGAGAGCACACACCTGGCGGAGCTGGCCCGCCATCTTCCTCCTGCATAGCCTCCCCTTTCCTCGTGGTTCTTTGGACTGTGGCATCTTAATAGGCAACTCATCAAGCACAGATCTGCCCTATTTCAATGGGAAAACACTTCCAGTCCCTTAGAGGGAGTGCAGTGGGGAAGGTGTAGGAAGCTCTTTCTGGAATTTGGGTTTCACTTATTTGATGTTCTGTCTATTTTCATATGTGGCCTGTGATGTTTCCCGGATCCAAACCTATCCACCTGTCTGACAAGTATTGTACGTACCTCACACAATGTGGCGGGCTTTATTTTGTTTCATCCTTACAATAGTTTTGCTCAGTTTAAAACACTTGTCACAGTCCAGTCCCATTTTCTAGACCAGGGGTCAGCAAACTGTGGCTCGTGAGCCACATGCGGCTCTTTGGGTATGTACATGTGGCTCTAAAGTAAAATTGAAAATGAAAATAAAACTATTATAGTTTCATTTATAAGAATTTTAAAGTATATTATTCACATAATGGTGATTATGTAAAAATATGTTTATGGCTCTCGAATAATTTTTAAATGGGCTCTTCCAGGGGTTGGCAAGCTTTTGAGATGGAACGTACCCAAAGAGCTGCATGTGGCTTGCGAGCTGTAGTTTGCTGACCCCTGGTCTAGATGAAGACACCAAGGCTTTGAAAGGGTATGCCACTTGCCCAGAGTCAACTTTCTGATCCCAGGGTCCCTGTTCCGGCACTAGAATGATCTCTTGCTATTAAACCATTTAAAAAGGCTTGGGGGGTGGGCGGCGGTTGAATGGGGATGGGAAGGGTCAGAAAAAAAGGCTTCTATTCAAAGCAGGTACAGATCTTATCTCCCAGGACTCACTGAGTGGTATCATTAGTATTCAACCTGTCACCACCAGCTGGAATGTTAGTGCATCTCCATCAATGAGGGGAAAAGGCTTTGCAGGCAGTTTTCTATTGGCTCTGGGAAAGGGGTGAACTGGCTGCGGGTTCATTAATAAACCAGGATCGAGTATGCACGCCAATGCCAGCCAGAATCTGCTGCTGCCTGGAGGATTTGACTGTGACATCCTTCCCAACTTTGTTACAACAAACCCAAGACCGGATATCTTGGGAGAGGAAGGAAGAAAGGAAACTGGCTGGTTGGTCCTAAGGAACCTGATAAGGTGGCTTCCGGGGCTCCAGTGGGGGTGGGGATGTGGGTGGGGGGAGGAAGCAGACATCGCGATCCGTTAACACCATTCATTCATTCATTCATTCATTCATTCATACGTGCGTTCATTTCACAATATTTATTGAGCATCTGCCACCTGTCAGGTTCTATTCTAGGTGAAGATCCAGCAGCAAACAACATGACAAATATCCCTGCCCTCACAGAGCTTATAGTCTAATGAAGGTGGACAGACAGTAAGCATATTAATAAGTAAAATAATAGATGGAGAGAAGTGCTTTGGGCAAAAAGGAGCAGGGAAGGCCAAATAGAGCCTGTGTGAGTGTGTGTGTAGGGGTTGATTTTAAACAATGATCAGAGAAGGCCTCAGGAAGTGACGTTTGATTTAATAACACCGTGCTGGGCATTGTTTGAAGCGTTTTACACTTATTATCGATTTAATACACCCCCCCAGAAAAGCAGCTATGATTATTCCCATTTTACAAAGAAACGGGGGTTAAGGGAGATGCAGTGATCTTACAGCTAGCACGTGGTGGAACTGGGGTTTGAACCCAAGCAATGGACACTTCAGGGGCTGCACACTTGGATGTTGGTGCAGAAAGCCTACAAACAGGGCTTGGGAAAGAGCCACTTGCGGGTGCCAATGAGGTCTCTGGGTTTCCACGAACGGATGTGGTGCCGCCCATGGGAAAGTGTGTGCAGACTTGAATTGGGGGGGGCGGGCGGTGGGGTGGTGGCAGTGGCTCTCCATCTTCTCTAAATTGAATCTGGACTCTCCCTCTCTGTGGCTGGGGAGTCCCGTTGCTCAACTGCAGCGGAGATGGGCCGGCGGGGGAGGGATTCACTGTCAGGGTTGTCCCGGGACAGTGCCGGTCGGAACCTCATCCCGCCGCCACCCCCGCCCAGCTGCTCCAGTCAATAAGGCGAGGGCCTCGCGGGCGCTCGTCGCCCTCCTGGTGGGGTTTGCCCGGGAGTTCCTAGCAGGGCTGAGGAGGCCGCGGAGGCGAACCCGGGAAGAGCGGACTCCAAGCACCCGCTGTCTCTCTTTGGGAGAAGCGCGCAATTCGCAAAGGGCGCGCGGAGCCGCACGGCGCGCGGAGTCCCCAGTGCATTCCCGGGAGCACCCCGGCCGCAGGGCTGAGCGGTGGAGCCCTTGCGGGGCGCCAAGACAGGCGGGGACAGGGTCGGTGCGCAGCAAAGGAAAGAGAACTACGACGTGCTGGGGTAGAAAGAGTAAAAGGCGAGCGCTTGCCCAAGAAAGGCCTGCAGAGAGAGCGGGAGCGCCGGAAAGGGGTGCCAAAGCGGTCCCTCAGAGAGCCACGAAGAGAGTGCTGGCGTAGGAAGAAGTGAGAAGGGACTGTTGCCCCCAGAGAAGGCGTGCCAAACCGTGGGGCCAGGGGTCAAGGAGAGAGCGTCGGCAGTCGCTTGGGTGCCTTCAGAGAGCGGCCCAGGCGGCGTCTAGGCTCAGCAAAAGGACCATAAACTAAAAGACTCCTGCGCGCTGGAGCGCGGGGCGCGGCAGGAGGGACACGCAGCGCCTGCGCGCGCCGAGAATGCAGCGTGCGGTCGCCCGCCCAGGCGGCGCGCGTTGAGGTTCTAGAAAAAGCGGGTTCCGAAGAACCCGACGAGTGCCCAGGAATGTCGGCGGCAGGGAGAGAAGCCGCAAAGTCCACGGCAGAACTTCCCCGGGTTGGAGAGAGAGAGAGAGAGAGAGAGTGCACCCTGGGCGCTGGAAGAGAGTGGAAAGCCGGCCTGGGGGAGGCTAGGTCAGGGCTCTCTCTGGTCGCCACAAGGAGCGCAGAGGAGGTGCGGCTGGTTGAGGAGAGAGTTCCAGGAGCCTGAGAAAGGTGAGGAGGACAAAACACCCTGGGCGCTCGGGGCCGTGAGGGAGGGAGCCGTGGAGAGCGTGTTGGGTCTCCCGGAGGGGCGCAACGCCACCCGTGCCCCACTCCCTTGCCGCTCCTGGTCCTAACCCACTCACCATGATGGAGAAGACGAAAGCCACGATGTTGATAGGGTACGCGGGGCAGAAACACGAGACAATGGCGAGCCACAGGTAGTTCTTGGGCATGGGCACGTCCTCCTCGGTCTTGTCATCCTCAGTGTTGGCCTCGGGACTGCTGTCCAAAGACCTCTTGAAGTCCGAGCTGGGGGCGTACTGAGACATGGACGAGGCCGGCGGCGCAGGGCGGGAGGAGCAGCGCACGGTCGGCGCGGTCTGGGACTCTGGCCGCCGGCTGCTGGCGAGGCTCTGAAAAGCCAGCGGAGCGAGGCTCACGGGAGACGTGACCTCACTCCTCCTGCGTCCTCCGCTGGCACCCGCCCGGGCTCAGGAACCCGGGCCAAGAGCCTCCGCACAAAGAGGGAGGGAGTGAGGGGGAGGCGGCAGAGAGGAAAGGGAGCCCGTCGTCAGCCTGAGAAACGGGGGAAAGGCGCTCCGTGACGGACACACCCAGAGACCGTCTGACGGACGCACAGACCCTAACTCCGGCATTAGAGAAGTTTCAGGGAAGCGGCAAGCAAAGCAAACAGGCCAGCCCCTGGGCTGAAGATGGCCAGCACCCCCCTCACCCCTTTTTTTTGGTTAGCAGCTGAATTTGAATACATTGAGACAGGACCTGGAGGTCACCTAATCACCTAACCCTATCCATCTAACCACCGAGTTCCTACTTCCTCTTGACTGCAGCAATTTACCTAATTGTCTGGCTCAGGAGGCATTTAATTTGCTTCCCCTGCCCCCATCCCTTCTTCTACTCAGACCTTGAATATTGAGCCCAAGTGATGTCTCTTCCCCCACAGGTGGGCAGGGAGCAAAGTGCCCAGCTTTGAGCCCAGCCCTTCCACGCTGCCCAGGGGCCTCTGGAGACTGGAGTCTGTAGAGCCATGCAGTGGGCACTGCCCAGCCTAGGGCCTGCCCGGTGACTTCAGTTTTTCCCAAGTGTGGAAACAAGGAACCCTTTTCCTCTTTACTTTTCCAGCTACAGGGGCTCTGGACAGAGAAGCAAGTAGATCTGGCTGGTGTAGACAACCCAGGTGGATCATTGGGGTGGGGAGAAGAGAGGGATCCACTTTGGGAACCAGGGTGAGGGTAGCAATTGCATCAGTATCTAAGTAATTCATGAAAGGGGGTAGGGACCAGAGCTGAGGCTCTAAACCCAGACAGAGCTGGGAAATTTGTCACCTCTGAGTTGAACGCCTTAGGGAAGTCCCCTCACCTTGCTGAGCTCCCATTACTTCTCTGAAAAAAGGGGACTAGTACGAGCCTCTGCCTGACAGGGACCTTGTGAAGGCTCTGAGATCACACGCTGAGCCAGGCGAATCTAAGTGCTCCATAAATGTTAGCTATTATTAGGACGCTATTTCCCCCCAAATATAGTCATTATACAGTACCTGAGATGCAGTATCCATTGTTGCAAATATTTCACCCCAAATCCAGATATGCTGAGTTGGCAAGGCTGCAAAGAAATGCAAATCATTGTGCACAGACTCCAACACAATGGCTTGCATCATCCTACTTGGAAGTATTAATCATCTGCTTTGCTTTCTCAGAGCATGACCTGATTGTCTGAGATATTTCCACTTATCTCATGAGGTCATATTTATGTAGTTATCTGTCTCCCTCACTGGACAGCAGCTCTCTGAGAGAGGGGACCCTTTTGCTCATCTTTGTGTCACCACCTGACACAGTGCCTGGCACACAGTATGTGCTTAGGATAGTTTGCTGGGTGAACACATAAAGATGTAACAGCTCCGGGCCGGCCGAGTGGCGCGTTGGTTAAGAGCTGGCTTGGGACGCCAGAGGGCCCCGGTTCGGATCCCACATATGAGGGCCAGTGACACTGCCCTC